ATATATATTGGTGTAGACAAAGAAATTTTGGCGGAATAAATTCCATTAGATAAGAAAATAATTAGGGTTCAGTGGATTAAATTGTGGGCCCCATAATTCACCCATGTGGCGTACGACTCATCAAAATCGGATTAGTTGTCAAAGGTGACACATGTCGACATCCGGTGGAGTGTATCAAACGGTTCAAAGTGAAGACAAAATTAAAGGAAAGAATCTTCTGTGATTGACTTTGATTTAGATTAAATATTAATCAAGTCAATCAATTGAAGATAATTTTGTTAAATTGCCAAATTATTGGAATTGATTTTAAATCAAATCAAAATCCCACAAAGCAAGGTCCTAAAGAAGGAAAGCTATTTAGGTCAAGCATCCTGCAGGAGCCTATAAATAGGAGGCCTCAAGACGAAAGAAAGGAGCTTAGATAGACCAAACACTAAGAAGAAACAGAAAACTCCATGCATTCTTCACCTCACTTTGGAAGAGCCACCAAGCACAACAAATTCGTTCCGGTTCCTCCACTCTAGAAAAATCCAATCACCAAACAAGCCTTGTGCTACCCGTTTGATCAAGATCAAATCTCTACGACCCTTTTATCAAACACAAATTTTCTTTAAACACTTTGGAGATCGAATTAGAGGATTTCATACAGAGATTGTAACCCTAAATTTCATTAATACAAATATTATTTTGTACACGTGTTCTTATCTAATTTGTCTTAGGAAATTCGTGTTTATAAATTTGGCACGACCGGTGGGACTATCTCTGCCTCTCATCTCTTTCTCCAGTTTCAAGCTCAATTAATACATTGGAAATGATGGCTTCCAGGAAGACTCAAACCATTCCCACGATGAGAGGCAAAAGCGTGAGCGCCTCCTTCTCAAGTGGAGACTTTGTTGGGGTCGTCACCCGGAGCAAGGCCAAGGTGATATATGCAACTCAACATGTCACTTCCATACCGATTCAAGCCAAGGCGAAAGATGTAAATTGAAGGCGTGAACCGGTTATCAATTTGGCCTCCTTGGGGGCAATGAGTGATGTCTATTGAAGAACAATTGGCCCAAATGAGCAAAGCGGTCACGAAACTGACGAAGATGGTCGAAGAGAATGATGCGCAGATTGCTTCTCTCATTAACAAGTGCGGGGCACATCAGGATAAGGAGCCTGGTCAAGATGTGCACAAAAAAAGACCACATCATGGAGCTGAATCCAGTGAGAAAGGATTGGGTAATGAAACAAAGTTGGGTGAGAAGTTGCACAGAAAAGGTGACGCCACCTCGGTGGGTTCTTTATTGGTCCAACAACTTCAGGACATGATCGAGAACACCATCAGGGTTCAATACGGAGCTCCTTCCTGAGACACCTCATATATTCCAAGCCAAACACTCAGAAGAAACAGAAAACTCCCTGCATTCTTCACCTCACTTTGGAAGAGCCACCAAGCACAACAAATACGTGACGATTCCTCCACTCTAGAAAAATCCAATCACCAAATAAGCCTTGTGCTACCCGTTTGATCAAGATCAAGTCTCTATGACCCTTGTATTAAACACAAATTTTCTTTAAACACTTCGGAGATCGAATTAGAGGATTTCATACAGAGATTGTAACCCAAAATTTCATTAATACAAATATTATTTTGTACACGTGTTTTTGTCTCATTTGTCGCAGGAAATTCGTGTTTACAATTGGTGATGAGTTTGATATCTAGTTAGATGTGGTTAGCGAGAACAATATACATTTGGTGATGAGTCTGATACCTAGTTAGTTGTTCTTTATTGCATTCAGTGGCGGACCTATTAAGGCGCAAGGAGGTGCAGCTGCACCTCCCCTCGCCGGAAAAACCATTAGAGGTACTTCAAATTGCACCTCTACTCAATTGGTGGTTGTGAACTCTAGCAGACCCATAGCCTGTGCTGATTGTGCTACGACACAGGGCCCCCAAAAATCACGGGTCTCCAAAGAAAGAAGACAGGGCAAGGAAAACCTTGAAATTTTGGAGTTGCAGAGCCGCAATTGCACGAGGAAGAAGACGACTGTGTGCTGATGTTTCTTTTAGGTTTCTCTCTCATATTAAACGGCCCCGTTTATGACTTAGTTTGATTTTAAATTGAAACGGGGCATTTTGTTACTTTTTAGTATAGTTTAATCCTATTCAATTGCAACCAAATAAAAAAACAATTTTAAAAAAATGAGACGGTGGTGCTCTGCATCCCTACCTCTCATGTCACCTCATGACTCATGTTATTTAGTTCTGATTGGGCTTTGACTCTAAAGCCTTATTATTATTATTTTAACGTCTTATTATTATTATTTTTTTAAGTTTTTCAAAAGGCACATAATTGACTGGGCTCTAACTCTAAGTAAGGAAAAAATTCAGTTCTATTTGTGAATTGTGAATTTTTGTTTTTTTATTTATAAAAATAGGTCCTTAATATTTCTCTTTGTATAAGGCCTCCAAAATTAATAGACGGGCAAAATAACTCAGCTAAAGTATGTTTGTTGGGCTGCGTAGTGCACACCTGGCCAAAAAGATGTCGTTTTGAGCCAGGCAAATAAAAAAACAAGAAAAGAGAGGAGGAAACCAGATTGCAATTCATGGACTTTTAAAAAAAAGAAGGAAATCAATTGGTTTTATTGCTGCTTTTTTTTTACTTCTTGACAAAAAGCCAATTCGTTTCTTCTCCTTTTTTTTTTTCCTTCTTGACAAAAAGCCAATTCGTGTCTTCTTCTTCTTTTTTTTTTTTCTTTTCTTTTTTTCTTTCCCCCCCTCCCTATTTTTTTGTAATCTGCTTCTTATTTTATTTTTTCTGATTTGGCTCTTATGATAAGTATTCAATAGCTAACTCGAGGAAGAAGAGGCTCCGCAATGCACGACTCGTGATATGTTCAATTATGATTTGTTTATATTCAATTTATTTTTATAAAGCTTTTATCCTTTCAAAATTACACCTCCTCTAAAAAATTCCTGGGTCCGCCAGTGATTGCGTTGATTGTTAGTTGTTCTTTATTGCGTTGATGTAGCCTTGTTGTGAGTGTATAGATCTGTTTATAAAGTATCTTGTAAATATTCTATCATTTTTGTCCAGAAAAAGAAAAAACTTCCACCAATAAACCTTATGGTTTTTATCTTGAGTAGTTACTGTTACGTCAATTACATCATTTTCGTGTAAAAACTTTCAATTCGTTCAAAGTCATCACCATTCTTTTTTGCAGCATAAGAAGATTGGGATGACATTACTCGACTTGACATAATAAAGATGCAAATGATGTGTTTGAAATAGTACAATGGCTACTTGTGGTAAAAAGCCTAGCCTTTATCGTGTTGTAGAACTCTCTAAAATCCTTTGCAATTATAATGGAATCAATTTAAAAGTAGGTTGTGAATATGTGAAACATTCTTAACAAGATTTGAACTTTATTATCACATAATAGATTGAAGCGTACACAACATAAGAAAAAGTATCGGGTTGATGAGCTTGTGGATCAAGCATCTTAAAATTTACATCTTCCATTGGAGATACTTTAAAAATTGAAAAGTTTTCAAAGGGATCTTGCTCGTCCGTTTCTAACATAAATACTTATGTCAGATTTTTTGGGAGTGTGCCTTAGGATTTGCCATCACATATACACTAGAAATTAGAAAATAATGCGCAAAAAAAAAAAAAAACATATAATATACAAGTTACTAAGGGAAACTTTAGCAAAATCTTATCATTCGGTCATGTTTCACTTTGCCTTATGAAATTTTAATTTGATTATGAACCCCGTTAGGTGCGAACAAATATACAATTTCATCACAATTATGTACCAGAGATCTTTGGTAAACTCGAAGTCCCAAGGTTAGGGTGCAAACAATATAGCTATGTATCTATGAAAATGTTGATGAGGTAACCAATAAAATGCCTACATTGACAAGAAGAGAGCGACTAGAAGTTTAGAGGAATTGAATTCAAATATACAACGAAGTAGACTCTACTCTGCATCATTTGGGTAGCTTGAGCAAGGTAGCATTTTCCTTGCTACAAAAGATGTGGAAAATTTTATTATAGGGGACTACGGTCAATGATAAAAGCGTGTTAAAACAAGTCCCAACTTGAATGGACAAATTAACCCTCAATGGTATAATTATGGGAACGGCTAAAATTAATTTTCCAATCGCGGAAGATTTTGGGTGCAAACTTTATTTTTATTGAAACCACATTCCACTTGGACAACAATTGTAATTATTGTCTACTATATGAAACCTAGTCTCTTATTATTTAACTAGCACTTTATTACAAGGGTACCACTTTTTCCATATAAGTATAATGAGGTGTGATCTTGTGAGTAAGCTTTAATTGAACAAGCAAGAAATGATGCTTTAAAAGTAAAATTTGGTAGTGGTATCATCATTTCATCAACTCCACACTAATAAATCCAAATTTTAAGGGCACACAGTTCATTTTAGCAACATGTGATTATGTTTTCTAGACTTATATCATTTTTTTTTTTGGGTAAATCCCACAAGGTGTTCTCACACCTGAAGGGTGGGATTAATCCCCGCTCGAAATTCAACTTGTCTCTGACCACAAAGTATTTCTAATTGGATTCAAATTTCTTTTGGAGGTGGCAATTTACTAACCAAGGTGGTTAACTATCCATCTTTTCAATCAACAAAAAAGAATATCCATTTTTTCTCGTAATATTCAATGATTTTTTTAAAATGTGTTTATAATTATATATTTCGGCATTTTATTTGGGGAAGAAAATTTCGCGGGCGTGGAAGGACGCGCCAAAGACCGTCCCTAGCCGATAAGAAAAAGGCAAAGGTGGCAATTGACAAAAAGCATCGCGGGCAGCACGCAAGCCCCATCCGGGCAGCGGGCAACACCAAACGCCGTCTTCCTGAGGCACTGAAGCCGTTTTTGGCTAAACACAGCCAAAATTTTAAAAAAATCTAAGATTTATTGACCTACTCGCACCCGAGCCTGAGGTTCGGAGGCAGGCTCGGACCTCACAATTAGGCCCTCCCTTTCGAAAAAGGCCAAGCCACGGGCATCGAAAACAATGGAGCCAAACCAAAAGATAGAGAGAGAAACAGAGCGTGGTTTTAGAGAGAGAAAGTAGAGTAAGAGAGAGTGAGGGTTTTAGAGAGAGAAAAAAGCAGGGCGGATGGGTCAGATCGTGAGGAGGAAGAAGAAGGGGAGGCCATCCAAGGCAGATCTGGCTCGCCGGTCCGGCGAGTTGCCGGCGAAGTCGGTGAAGAAAGACACGGACGTGCGGAGGAGCCTCCGGCGCCGAAATGTGAAGTACAACATCGACTACGACGACTACTTGGACGAGGAATACGAGGACGAGGAGGAAGAAGAGGAGGAGAGGAGGAGAGAGAAGAAGGTGAAGCTGGTGGTCAAGCTCGACGAGGGCAGAGATGGCTCGGCGCGTGACTCCCACGCGCATGAGACTGGCGAAGAAGAGGAGGAGGAAGAAGAGGAGGAGGAGGAGGAGGATGGTGAGAGTGAGAGGAAGCCGTTGAAGAAGCGCCGGATTAACGGTGGCGATGATTCCGATAAAGATGATGATGAAAATGATGATGATGATGATGATTGTGAGGTATGTATGTGTAGATAGCATAACATTAATGTACGGATCTGATGCAGAAGAAGAAGTGGTTTTTTGAAGTGGGAGACATAGAAGTGTAGTGAGAGTGCAGCTCAGAATAGTTTTCTCATTGGTCCAGATTTCTAAATTACTCTCTCTCTAGCTTCTCTCTCACTCCTCACACTCTCTCACACTCTCTGTTCGAGTGTTGTGATATTAACAGTTGGAGTCAACTGTCAAAAACCAACACAGGATTTTGATCACGCTCTCCCCACTTCTCTCTCTCTCTCTCTCTCTCTCTCTCTAGATACAATTGTCTGCTGCCTTACCTGTCTCTGTCTCTGTCTCATTAAAACTCAGTCTTTCTTGCCTTTTACATTTTATTTGCCTTGGTACTTTTTATTAGTTTTGTGGGTTTTCATGGGGCCTATGGATTTTGACAGGAACGGGGTCGAAAAGCTGACTCTAAGCGCCAAGGTCTCCTTCCAGGTTTGTTTTTGTGTGAGTTGGATATGTGGGTGTTGGTTGCTTTGTGTTGTGAACTTGTGATGTGTGAAGATGATAGGGGTTGTTAAATTTTTCTTGTATTTGTCTTAGAAACGCCGTCTGATCCTCAGCCTGGGATTCCATTGCCTGATAAGAAAACGTTGGAGTTGATCCTTGACAAGCTTCAAAAGTATGGGGTCTCATTTATTTTCCCTCTGTTTCATGTTGCTAATTTCAAAGCTAAAAGCTTCGTTTTCTGATGTTCACATCTCATTGTGGCAGGAAAGACACTTATGGCGTGTATGCAGAACCAGTTGATCCTGAGGAGGTGCGTGAATTTTTCCATGGAATATGGCTTTACGTTTGCTCAAAACTCTCCATCTCTTTCTGGGGTTAAGAGTTTGATTTAGAGGTTGATATGATGTTTGATATTGTAGCTTCCCGACTATCATGATGTCATCAAGCATCCCATGGACTTTGCCACGGTGAGAAAGCAGTTGGAAAATGGATCATATTCTACATTGGAACAATTTGAGGTGGGTGCTCATATGTTACCAAATACTACCCATGTACTCTTACTAATATCGAGGGGGCTTAGATATGTCTTGTTGTAAAAGCACTGCAAAACTTCCCTCGGATGTTTTACAGTGTTATATGATCTTCTTAAGTTATGGGTGGGGGGCTTGAGGGAGCAGACTAACTTATCCTTTGTTCTTTCTCCTTTTTTGGATTTTTGATTCTGTGAACACTTTTTAATGTTTCATTTTGTTGTTCGTTAATTAGTTTGGGGAATTTTGATGCTAAGTGAAAGAGGGAAGAGGCTCTTTATGTTTTGAGTGTGATAGTCTCTGGAATTTCATTCACACCAATATTTATAATACTATGCGTATGCAAGAGAATTGTTAGAGTTGGATTGTTAATTTTAAAGCTCCGAAGTTTTCAGTTCATTCGAGATTAAGTTATGATCTGTATATATGGTCAGTTACCATAGGTCTCCTAGACAAAATAAGGGTGCAGGATGTGGATACTCTGCAAATTGTTAGTGGTAAAACTTCAGAATTTACTGGGGTATGTGAGGTCAGACTAGACTTGATTGGAAAAGAATTTGGCTATGAGTTCTCTCTCACTCCCTGCCCGTGCCTCTCCTCCTATTTTCATTTCATTTTTTTTAATAGATGATTACATTTATTATCAAAACATATTTGAAACTGAGACCTTTAATGTATATTTATTGAAAGACGTTTATCTATCATTCTAGAGTCCAAGCAGCTTGATATTCTACCAGGGGCAGAGGGAATGTATGTTAAATCTTTGAAGATATTCTGGCTATTAGCTTAATTAAAAGGAGGTGAAGGAGAGAAAAGTGCATAGTTCACCTTCAAATTGGCTGCTCTCTCTTGTTTAATAATCTTCTTACTCTAATTCCTTCCCTTGAAATTATGTTAAAAGAGGAAAGAAGCGTCTTCTTATCTTGGTAATCTGGTCCTATTGGTTGCAGGGTGATGTCTTTTTAATATGGTCCTCTTGGTTGCAGGGTGATGTCTTTTTAATATGTTCAAATGCAATGCAATACAATTCATCCGATACAATATACTATAAACAGGTAATTAGCTTTTACCATCTTATTTTTCAAATTTCTTCTTTTTCCATCTTGTTTGTTTCTTACCATTGTATTTTGATATTTGTGAAAGGCATGTTCTATACAAGAGCTGGCAAGGAAAAAATTTGAGAGGTTAAGGATTGATTATGAACGCTCAGAAAAGGAGCTCAAATTAGTTCAGAAAACAAATTCCAATTCCTTGGTCAAGAAACAAACAAAGAAGCCTCTGTGCCGAACACTACAGGAACCTATTGGCTCTGATTTCTCCTCAGGTGCAACTCTTGCGACTGCTGGAGATGTCCAGAACAGTTCCCGTCCAACACAAGGCAGTGGTTGTGAGAGACCTAGCAACATTGATGGACCAGTAGAGGGTAATTCCTCCTTGAATGAAGCTAATATGGATAAGGCAGAAGATATGTCATCAGGTGCACTGAAGTGTTTGTTTTCCTTTTTCATCTTGTAGATCTACAATGATAGATGGAAAAAAGAACATGTGGATCTCAATATTCTTGTTACTATAGTCTCGATTAGATTAGCAAAGTTGGTTTCTTTTTCCTCTCCTAATATTTTTCTGTTGGAGGGTAATAGTTGATAAACACACATTAGTTAGCTCATAAAGATCTGAAGTAGCTTGTTCGTCATAATGTTGTCTCATAGGAGAGGATTCTCCTCTAATTTCTTGTTTGTTGCACTTTTTCTAGGGAAGGGTCACCTATCTAAAGTTGGGAGGAAGCCATCTGTGGTTGATGAGAACCGTCGTGCAACCTATAACATATCTACTCAGCCAGTGATCAGATCAGAATCAATATTTACTACTTTTGACGGTGAAATCAAGCAGTTTGTTGCAGTATGTAACAAAGAATCTGTTTTTCTTTTCCCCCAGTAGTTGGCTTTTGTATTACTAGTTTTTGAATGATATTATCAATTTCGAATCAGGTTGGGCTTCATGCAGAATATTCATATGCTAGGAGCCTTGCTCGTTTTTCTGGAAGTCTTGGACCTGTTGCTTGGAAAGTTGCGTCAAAGAGGATTGAACAGGCACTATCTGATGGGTGTAAATTTGGCCGTGGTTGGGTTGGAGAATATGAGCCGCTTCCAACCCCAGTACTTATGATCGAAAATTGTACCCAAAATCAATCTGTTTTGGCTTCAAAGTTTTATTCACACCCGAACTTAAGAAAGGATGACAGAACTCTTAGGACTTCAGTTTCTGCTAAGGTGCACCCTGTTATTGGGCCTGTTACAGAAGAGAGACAGCACTCTGTTATTGTGCCTACTTCAGGAGGGAGACCATCTTTTTTTGGTTCTGCTAGGGGGCATTACACAGAAGGGAAACCATCTGTGATTGGTCCTGTTGGAGCAAAACCTGGTACTGCAGTTAATGCTGTTCATCCACAGAAGAATCCGCAATCCCGGTTTATAGAGCCTGAGAACAAGGTTCAAAGGGAAGTTGAGTTGAACTCTGTACCTTCAGTCAACCAAAATAATGCCAATCTTGTTGCAGAAAAGCAATTATCAAGAAATTTGGAGACGACATCTTCCAGGTCCAGAGATACTGTATCAAGGAGCATGAATCTTCCACAACCTGTACCTTTTAAGATGCCGGATTCTAATGGTATTGTTACCCGAGGGTTGCCTAATGGGAAAGCTGCGAGTGCTTCTCTGGACAATAGGATGATCAGTCCATCTGATAGTGCTCCTAGTCAAAGTGAAAGAACATCGGCTTTCTTTCCTCATGGACAGGAGCAGGGTCTTAGTGACCCAGTGCAGTTGATGAAAAAATTGGCCGAAAAGACTCACAAACAACAGAAATCATCAAATCAATCATCAGTTGATACTCAACCCGTTGTACCATCAGTTCCATCAGTAAGAAGAGATGATTCAAACAATGCTGCAGCAGCTGCTGCCCGGGCTTGGATGTCTATAGGGGCTGGAGCATTTAAACAACCCACCGAGAATCTCACTAAAACCAAAAGTCAGATATCTGCAGATTCCTTATACAACCCAGCCCGGGAGTTTCAATCACAACTTTCGCGAGTTCGGGGGGAGTTTCCCATGCAATTTCAGACTCAGAACAATTTTTCATTTCCAACTTTTTTACCACAACCTGTCCGTATCGGGAATGAGCCACAGTTCCAAAGCAGACCTACAGTTTTTCCTCAGTTGGCAGCAGCTGACTTGTCTAGATTTCAGGTGCAGTCACCTCGGCGGGGTCTCAGTCCGCATGCCCAGCCAAGACCAAGACAGAAACAGGAAAGTCTTCCTCCAGACTTGAATATTGGTTTTCAGTCCCCAGGGTCTCCGGTGAAACAGTCCTCGGGTCTTCTGGTTGACTCTCAGCAGCCAGACCTGGCTTTGCAACTCTGAGCTTGGATGGGGTATTCAGCGGAATTAAACAAATAGTGTACAGAGCTGAGATGCTGCTCCTGTCTCCGGAATTCACCTTTATCTCCTGTGCCATAGTTGCATCAAGTGTGAGAATGTCTTTGATCTTGTTATGACAGAATGATTTTGGTGGTGGTAGTTATCCATTTTTGACTTGGACTGGGAATTGCCCAAATGAAGATGAAGGATTATCTTTGGTCAGATCAGCTTGCTCGACTAGATATGATCCGCTCAGAGCTTAAGATATGATCACTTTAACAGAACTCCAAGTTCTGGATGTCCCAGATAAGTATTAGGGACTCGCAGTAGCACTTTTTGTGTAATATTGTCGAGCTAAATCCGGCAGAAGGATGATTCATTTGATGATTACATCAAATTGCTTTGGAGTTCTTAAAACGATATAAATGCATCACTCTAGTTGAGGCCTTGTACATTGTTACAGGTTGATGAGAATTAGTTGTCTAGATTTTACTCATATTTTATGTAATTGCCCTGAAAATTCCACTTTATACCGCTCTACTTGTTATAATGTACATGTGGACTGTTGTCTCTCAAATTGAATGTTCCTACCATTTGCCTTTCCTCATCTTAGAATTCTCTTAATTTTTTCACCGTTTTATCTGCTGTTGAGTTTCTCTAACCTGAGATAAAAGTGTGGCTTTGGATTAAGCTGGGCTTAACCTGTTATGAACATTGTTTCTAAAAAAGAAGTTTACTTTTACTGGTAGTGATAGAAGTCTTTTGAACCTTATGATGGACAATGCAAATTGTAGGACAGTGTGACTATGCAAATGTAGACGCAGCTTGATCCCCGGAGAGGGATTCGTGTGGCAATGGCAGCTGTTTCCGAATTTGAGACTGTTCAGAGATTGATGGTTACCCCTACATTGGAGCCATTGAGTAGCTTAAATGTGGCAGAGGTTTGGTGCCCCCTTAGGATTGGGTTTGTGAAGATCAACACAGATGCTGCTTGGAAAAAAGAAAGTAACATGGCTGGTATTGGTGTCATAATCCATAACTCGGAAAGGATTTTCTTAATGTGCTCTGCTGACCGAGTTACTTGTAGTTCTGCTTTGATAGCTGAAGGTAGGGCTGACTTGAGAGGCATAAAGATGGCGATACAAAATGATTTTAAGAAGGTTGTAATGGAATCTGATTCTAAAGGCTTGGTAGATGGAGGTAAACAGGGGAATAAGGTGTGGACGATTTTCCCTCTGTTGATGGAGATCAGAAAGCTCTCGTTGAGGTTCCTATCATTGACTGTAGTCTAGTCTGTGATAGGAACCCCAACTTTGCTTGTAATCTGTTTTCTTTTGAGTCCTTTTTGGGACTTGCTTTGTACGTCCTTTTCCCCTCTTTATGGGGCGTTTAATGAAGCATCAATTTCGACCCAAAAAAAAATCGACATGCAGACATTTTAGTCCATGTGTTCATTGGTTCTTTATAATTTAGGGTAACTTCAATTTACTGTCCGATAGTTTACCGAATTTCAGAACTTATTATATGAAGTTCATTTTTTGACATTATCGTACACAAACTCTCGTTTAGGTATCATTTTCATACCTCCGTTAGTCTATCGGTTAAGAAATTCGTTAACTTATGACATGGCATAAATGGGACAGCCATTTTTGCATGACTTGCTGAGAGCTTGCTACATGGCCTGACAAATTGTTTAATTCTAAAACAAGCAAATTCATAGCTGGCCTTTGATTATCCAGCCCTTTCGGCAAAGCGAGTTTCTATTAAGAAACAAATGGCTTGAAATTATTTGGTTACAACTTTGGACACCTCTATATGAATGAAAATGAGTTTTTATCACAAACCCTTTTGCCATTAAAGGCTCTGCAATACAATTCAATGTTTACATAACTTCATATGAATCTAGTGGCATGCATATATAATTGTTCATCAACTGAACTGAGGCCATTATCGATCACTGAAAGATACGCTTCATGAGAGCTCATAGCTTGTGTTGTTGTGCCTATAAACTCTGAGACCTTTTCATCGAAAGGCGGGCGAACGAAATCCTCATGAGGCCGTGCCCGCGCTTGTTCTCCGTTGATTTTGTCCCACGCAACTGCTTCTGATTTCTGAGAACACAAACATCACCATCGCATATGTACCGTTTGCTTTGCGTTTGAGAGGAGGCTTCTGAAAAGCAGCTGAAGATGTTTGAGAGCAAAGCCATTGATAGAGATGATTCAAAGCGTTTAACCCTAAGATTTTTCTCTCTATTTGCCAAATCCAAATAGACTTATATACACACACAGACACAGGACAGAACACAGATAGATTTAGCTCTTGGTTGGTCCCTTGGTGCAGATATATTATATGCCGACTTGCATGTGCTTATATAATATAGATTAAGGTCAATGTTGGGTGGCTCTTTTTAAAATTTTGACAATGACTGGGTCTATTTCCATCCTCTCAAATCCAAACCAATGTGTTGCAGCAAACGTGTTGCTCTCAATTCCCAAGTATGTGGTCTATGAGTTTGACTGCGGCACAAGAAATGCCGTGTTGGCGGGTTGGCTCTTAATTAGTCCAGACTGTTACGTACGTTTGTCATCATGCTGCCATCACTTATGGATCATCAATTAAATTTTGAATTAGTATTATTTCCTTTAATCACTTTTAAGACATTTGTTAATGACTTCAATTATTGTCAATAATGAGTTTCTTAATTATCTTTTAAGTTGAAGGTTTTAATTGCTTACTTAATCACAGTGCTCTCTCTTTGACTTCCAAGTTTTATATATCAACAGAGCCTTTCAGAATAGGCAACTAATTATGAGCCTTGTCATCAAATTATGGTCATATCATTGTGTTCTTTTTTTTTTGGTCAAGGTAATTCATTCCATAAAAATGAAAGGGATTACACAGTCAGAAAAAGAAAAATAAAAACCAGCCCAACACTGATAGGTACAAGGCCTCAGCCCAACAGAAATAAAAAACCCTAAAACAAACATCTAGCCCAAAACCAAAACAAAGGAAGAACCCTAGATCTAAGAAGCTACAGTCGCCACTGTCGCCTTGCCGCGCCGCCGTCGCAAGTCCACGCCGCTGTCGCAAATCCACAACCACCAGAGATGGGTAACTAGTAACCAGACAAACCATTGCTTAGAATGGAGAATGGTGGTGGACAAACCACCCACGCAAAGAGCGCTACCATAATCCTAGAAGCTAGTGCAAAGAGCACTTTTGAAGCATCCTCATCCATGGAGCCGAGGAGCAGTGGCTGGTGGTTGAGATCTATCATTGTGTTCAGATCCAAAAAGAAGCGCTTCTATTTTTGTGGGAAACACTTTCTCATCTTCCCTTATATTGGAAAGAATGACAGCCTATTGAGAGTTATCTTATTACGTTTATGGTAACATTATGTCAACTTACGACTTATCACCGATATATATTTATGATGAGTTCGATACCTAGTTGTGGTGTAGCTTTGAGGTGAGTGTTTTGCCCGATAAACTCTATTCTATTTTTGCAAAGCTATAATTATGTTCCTATTCCTACTTACATTAAATGAAGAAAAAAAAGAGTTTTTATTAATATTAGTCAAAATTTGGTTCCTAAATTCATAAATGTCAGTTTTTATAAAAACTTTCAAATATAGCCAAAACTCATTTAAATAGTGCCAAGTACCCTTAAAATTAAAAATCAAATAAATCTAACATAAAGAATTGCATCTATAGCTTGTATTGCTTGTCATCAATCACAAATATAAATAAAACAAATCATTTTTATCTTCCTTCACATGAATTGGTCTACTTTCCATGTGATCTCATGTATGCCCAATTTATTTATTTATTTTAATTTTCGTTTTTAATTCACTTAAATAAAATAGACCAATTAGCAGGTTGATTTAGATCTTCGTAGACTACTATTCAGCCATAGTTCCATAGATCAAAGCATAAAATTAAAAGAAAGCATGAGGAAGAAGGCACATCATTGTTCTCTCCAACTCCTCCACCAAGGCGGCGGTGTGTGGAGCTCTAACATGGTTTGCTTCTCGTTTGGGGATAATGGAACATCTCTAACACCAGCAAGCAGCAACCAGAACCAGAAACTTTACCAGTCTGCACATCAAACTTTGGGGGGATAAAGTATTGTCTTCCCAAAATCCTCTTCAAGTTTCTTATAAATTTCTTTGTCATTCTTCCCATCATGAAAACTTTCTAAGCAAGATGGGAATATATGCTTGTGAAGCAGAGAAAATACATTGAAGAAAACTGTTATGGTGTGAACAGATGGTACATTATGTGGACTAGATCTTGGAATTACTTATTAGAGTTAGATAAGATTGAACAATATTAATTCTCTTTTTGACAAAAGAATCAACATTAATTTATATAATTACTCAAAAATGGTTCAGGTGCGGACTTTCAAGTTGTGGACTCGGGCAATCAAGTGGCTCTTTTTTTTTTTTTTTTTTTTTTTTTTTTTTTTTTTTTTTTTTTTTTTTTTTTTTTTTTTTTTTTTTTTTTTTTTTTTTTTTTTTTTTTTTTTTTTTTTTTTTTTTTTTTTTTTTTTTTTTTTTTTTTTTTTTTTTTTTTTTTTTTTTTTTTTTTTTTTTTTTTTTTTTTTTTTTTTTTTTTTTTTTTTTTTTTTTTTTTTTTTTTTTTTTTTTTTTTTTTTTTTTTTTTTTTTTTTTTTTTTTTTTTTTTTTTTTTTTTTTTTTTTTTTTTTTTTTTTTTTTTTTTTTTTTTTTTTTTTTTTTTTTTTTTTTTTTTTTTTTTTTTTTTTTTTTTTTTTTTTTTTTTTTTTTTTTTTTTTTTTTTTTTTTTTTTTTTTTTTTTTTTTTTTTTTTTTTTTTTTTTTTTTTTTTTTTTTTTTTTTTTTTTTTTTTTTTTTTTTTTTTTTTTTTTTTTTTTTTTTTTTTTTTTTTTTTTTTTTTTTTTTTTTTTTTTTTTTTTTTTTTTTTTTTTTTTTTTTTTTTTTTTTTTTTTTTTTTTTTTTTTTTTTTTTTTTTCTTTTCGTTTGTGTTCTCGTGAAGTTCATAGTTTGATGGTCCGCACTTATCGACCATGTACGATTTTTGAAATTTTGTTTTTGTCAAAGAGAATGACAAATGATGATATCATATTAGTTTTGACTAGTTGTATTATTCAGATTATATAAGATCACATATGCATACCTTATTTATAGGCACATTATTAACAAGGTTTGATGTTCCACATTGCCCCTACCGTTAACTCCATTCAAGAGTCCGTTAAGTTTGATGACGTGGCAGGGGTGTTTTAGTAATTTTGTGCACTTAGGTTTTTTAATTACTAAAAAAAAATTAAAATACAAACA